ATCGACAGCTGCATCGACACATCCTGCATGATCTCAACTTCCACGACTCGCCAAGCGAGGAGCAATGGAAACAGTGCGTCCCGAAACCCCAGCGCGCGGAAATACTGCACCGACTGCATGACGACCCGACCGCCGGACACTTTGGCATTGCGAAGACCATCGCACGAGTAGCGCGCTTATATTATTGGCCAGGAATGTTCCGCGACGTCACTCGATACGTCCGTGACTGCCGAAACTGCGCCACCCACAAGGCCGCACAAACCTTGCCGGCCGGGAAACTTCGAGCCACCAACGTCACGCACCCGTGGCAACAGGTCTCCATTGATCTGGTCGGACCATTACCACGATCGACCAGTGGTCATACCTGGCTGCTGACCATGCAGGATCGATTCTCCAAATGGATAGAGATGACGCCGCTCCGCCAAGCCACCGCCGCCAACGTCACGCGAGAAGTAGCTGGACGTATTATATATCGTCACGGCTGCCCGGACACCATCGTCTCTGATAACGGGACTCAGTTGAGATCGCACCAGCTCGAGGGATTACTACGATCCTTCGGGATCAAGCATAGAACCGCCCCCGCCTACGCACCGCAGTGCAACCCAGTCGAGCGAGCCAACCGCACCATAAAGACCATGGTGGCGCAATATGTGGAAGGCCGACATCGCCGTTGGGATGAACACATCCCCCAGCTCCAGTTCGCTTTCAATACCGCACGACAAGAATCCACGGGATACACCCCGGCCTTTCTGATGTACGGCCGGGAGTTACAATCACCGCATCCCGACGACCGCCGCCCGGCAACCACCAGCAACGCTCCCGAAACAGTTCGACGTCGACTCGAAGACGCCTACGAAATTGTCAGAATCAACCTGGCCCGCGCCTTCCAACATCAACAGCGAAACTACGATTTAAGACGACGCGACTGGCGTCCCAAAGTTGGGGACCGAGTATGGAAAAAGGAACACCCGTTATCGAACAAAGAGCGCGGCTTTAATGCCAAACTAGCACCAAGATTTGGTGGCCCGTTGACGATCAGACGCATCATCTCCCCCGTCATCGTGGACCTGAAGGACGACCGAGGTCGATGGCATCGGCACATCCACGTGAGGGACTTGAAATCCGCCTCCGAACCGCGTCCTGCGGGCGAACCCTAGCCCGACACCTGAGCAACGCACGCCGATCAACGCCGCCGATCAACCGTCAAGCATATTCGCGATTTCGAATCAAAATACGTGGAGCGGCACTCTTCATGGTCCGCGTCTTGTCGAAAATCTTTGGCCGAATACCGGGAACGGCACTCTTCATGGTCCGCGCTTTGCCACCCGGTCCCGAACCGAGAGCGGCACTCTTCATGGTCCGCGCCCTATCACCAATTTTTTTGCCGGGAGCGGCACTCTTCATGGTCCGCGCTTTGCCACCCGGTCCCGCACCGGGAGCGGCACTCTTCATGGTCCGCGTCCAGATCACCGAGGGGTATAAAGAACGGGCACCCTTGGGTCGGAACTCATCCCATCACGATGGAAACACCAAACGAAGAAGCAAACCAGCCCTCGAAAGAAAATCCGTCCGTTTCCGGACGAAATCCGCCCGTTTCCGGGCGAACCACCCGGCCAGTACCGGAAGTAGGGACCCGCATCCAGCGGTCCAACGCCGAGCAGCGACGTCGGAACTTGGTGCTCCTAGAGGCACCACCGCCTCCCCCGGGCAGACGCCGACCGATCCCGGTGAGCACCCGGCATCGACGACCACCGGTCCTCTCCGACTCCCCGGCCTCCACCGTCGCCGGCGTCACCAGGCCCACGACGACACCGGCCAGCGCACGCCAGCCCGCTCGACCATCCGCGAACCGATCGGTTCCTTCAATCGGCACCCGCCGACCCACGCCATCCGCTGCCGCACCGCCAGCCACCACGCGCCAGTCAGCGCCGCCTGACGAAACGAACCAGCCAGCGCATCGCGCCGACACGGGCCAACAGGCGCGATCCCTTGTCGCGCCACCAGCCAGGGAGCCACCCCAACCGACACCACGCCGACCTCCAACCGGCCAGGCCCCACCAGTGCCAGCACCACGCCCGGGACCTCCACGACCCATCCAGGTCACTCTGGGGGACGGCCAAACCGTCGACATACCGTACCACGCCGCCACCATCTCACGGCGGTATAAGGTACGCACCCCGACGGGCCGGTGGATCATCAAATTCGACCGACGAGGGAGACCGCGAACGATCCGTCGAATAGCCACCCCCCCCTAAAGAGGAAGGGTGATGTGACGACCCGATTAGCCGTCACTAGTCGCCCGCGCTCATGTAAACGGCCCCTTTCGGGGCCACCACACGAACACGTTGGGAATCCGCCTTTTCGCCCCCACCCGTCACTCGGCCCCCTCCAAGCTAGTCTTAGAGTGGGGTGGCCGACGGGTATAAAGAGCGGCGCAGCCGAGACTTCGGCACCAGTCCCGTCCTGGTCCCTCGAGCGTACTCAGGGATCACTCCTCAACTCCCACACTCCAAGTCACCCCGGCCGACGAGCGTTCTCGTCGTGCAGGCCGAGCGTCCTCGGTCACCGGGTCCTGTCCGGAAATCACCCCGGCCGACGAGCGTTCTCGTCGTGCAGGCCGAGCGTCCTCGGTCACCGGGTCCTGTCCGTAAATCACCCCGGCCGACGAGCGTTCTCGTCGTGCAGGCCGAGCGTCCTCGGTCACCGGGTCCTGTCCGTAAATCACCCCGGCCGACGAGCGTTCTCGTCGTGCAGGCCGAGCGTCCTCGGTCACCGGGTCCTGTCCGAAAATACCCGGCCGACGAGCGTTCTCGTCGTGCAGGCCGAGCGTCCTCGGTCACCGGGTCCTGTCCGTAAATCACCCCGGCCGACGAGCGTTCTCGTCGTGCAGGCCGAGCGTCCTCGGTCACCGGGTCCTGTCCGTAAATCACCCCGGCCGACGAGCGTTCTCGTCGTGCAGGCCGAGCGTCCTCGGTCACCGGGTCCTGTCCGTAAATCACCCCGGCCGACGAGCGTTCTCGTCGTGCAGGCCGAGCGTCCTCGGTCACCGGGTCCTGTCCGTAAATCACCCCGGCCGACGAGCGTTCTCGTCGTGCAGGCCGAGCGTCCTCGGTCACCGGGTCCTGTCCGTAAATCACCCCGGCCGACGAGCGTTCTCGTCGTGCAGGCCGAGCGTCCTCGGTCACCGGGTCCTGTCCGTAAATCACCCCGGCCGACGAGCGTTCTCGTCGTGCAGGCCGAGCGTCCTCGGTCACCGGGTCCTGTCCGTAAATCACCCCGGCCGACGAGCGTTCTCGTCGTGCAGGCCGAGCGTCCTCGGTCACCGGGTCCTGTCCGGCCGGACGAGCGTTCTCGTCGTGCAGGCCGAGCGTCCTCGGTCACCGGGTCCTGTCCGTAAATTATTCCGGCCGACGAGCGTTCTCGTCGTGCAGGCCGAGCGTCCTCGGTCACCGGGTCCTGTCCGTAAATTACCCCGGCCGACGAGCGTTCTCGTCGTGCAGGCCGAGCGTCCTCGGTCACCGGGTCCTGTCCGTAAATCACCCCGGCCGACGAGCGTTCTCGTCGTGCAGGCCGAGCGTCCTCGGTCACCGGGTCCTGTCCGTAAATCACCCCGGCCGACGAGCGTTCTCGTCGTGCAGGCCGAGCGTCCTCGGTCACCAAGTCCTACCTGAAAGTCATCGGCGCCTGACGGAGCTCGCCCTTCTCAGGGCGCCCGTACGCGTGTCCGCGTTGGAAACTTTAGCAATAAGTCGTGTCCGCGTCCGTATAATCTGGTCGCGTCTCGTCCGTAATATTTCTATCCGTCAATCCTAGCAATAAGTCGTGTCCGCGTCCGTATAATCTGGTCGCGTCTCGTCCGTAATATTTCTATCTGTCAATCCTAGCAATAAGTCGTGTCCGCGTCCGTATCATCTGGTCGCGTTTCGTCCGATTATACTGTGCTGTGTATAATGGTTTGAATCACGGGAGAACCACAGGAAGGTGGCCCCGAATAAACTCTACTTTTACCAGAGCAACCGTGTGTCATTGTAAATCTGAGTCTCCCCTCTTCCCGAATCCTGGCACCGGCGAGCCGATCCGTGGCGTCGGGAAAGGTGCTTCGTTACAATGTACTACACGTACACGCGTACCAATCTCAATTGATACTTGTCAAATGATGTCTATTGAATTTTACGAATCAGCTGATATTGAGTTTTTCTACACAATTGAATTTATCATTTCTTAAATACATGAGTACTACATATTTTATTGAGATCAATTAATATTAAAATATTAATTGTTATAATATTATAGTAAATTATAATTTTATAATAATAATAATAATAATTTAAAATAATAAATAATTAAATATTTCATTAAAAGAATTATAATTTCTTGTAATAATAATATTTATAATAATAATAATAATAATAATAATTTAAAATAATAAAGAGTTAAATATTTCAATAAAGAATTATAATTTTACAATAATTAATATTTTAATATTAATTGATCTTGATAGTATACATAATATTCATGCATTTAAGAAATAATAAACTCAGCTATGTAGAAAACTCAATATCAGCTGAGTCGTAAAAATCAATAAGAATAACAATTGACAGATCGATACGCGCGTACATACGTGTAGTATAATATATGTTTCGGGCAAAAGCGCGTTGATTCTAGACGATGTATTTTAAACTATTATATATATACTTAAACCATTACAACCTCGATATTTTTATATTAAAATTTTGTACTCTATTTTATCTCAAGAATATATTATTAAAATATTGAATGGTGGACATCCTTATATAAATATATATTTAAACGCACATATAAATAATATTTATTTTAATAACTTATCCTTTACAGAATTTTAAGATGTTTATATAGTATTAAATTTATATTATTTTTTATATTAATCGCTAAAGATTATAGACTTATTATAAACATTATAAATAAAATAAAAGATAAAGATTTGTATTAATATAAAATAGTAAAATAAATATGTAACTTACACGATTAGTTTGAATATAGTTTTCAACCAAATCTATGTTAACATTCCATGCTACAATTTGTATTCTTTTACCATTTCCGTTATTAAGGTAAAATTTAAAAAATTTATATTGTTTGTTGTTACCAACAGATCGTGAAGCTTCAATTCCGTCCACATATCCAATAATTTCTCTATACAGTGAATATATTAGAAAATTTGAAATATATATAAATTTATTATATATATATATATATATATATATATAATTATTATATATAATTATTATATTATTATAAATATTAAATTATACATTTAAAGAATTATATTTTAAATTAATTATATTAATTAATATAATTAATATTGTATGCGCAAACGCGTGAAGGAGAGCGCGTATTTGAAGGCCGAAAAGAATTGATCACCCTTTAAAAATAACACAGAGTTTACTTTAACACAATTTAGACGATACAGTAATTTTACAAAAGTTTCAATAGATAAGCCGAGATCGACTTCAAAGTGCGTGTGCGGTTAATAATTGCGGTAATTTCTAAGCGGTTTGACAGCGGTTGTACGTACTAAGACTCGAGAGACTAGCTGCGCAATTTTTGTGGGCGCTTCCTTTATCGGTGCGGTACTGAAGCCCCACTAATTTTTACTTCACCAATTAATTTCGTTTGTTTAAAAATGTTCGAAGGTGACGCGAGGGCACCTGTCTTTATTGGCCGCCCCGTAATTTACGCGAAACAAGCACGCACCTGACATGCGTGAAACGCTCGATAGCGGGATCGATTGGCTTTCGGAAGCCACGTGATCGAACGGCGCATGTCTATTACATCGATAATCAATACGGTAATCGTTGCTTTTGGTTGAGCAATGTTGTTATTATTGACAGCTTGTTAGGATAATCCTGATTTATCGCCTACTTGTTTATATCGGGCGAGCCCTTTTTTCCGCGGTTTTTTTCGCATATTCATGTAAGAAAATATCGATTTTTAGACTAAAATTATAGACTTAAACAATTATATGTCGTGATTTCAGAAGTGATTCTAAAAGTGATGTGTTTTATAAAGCACAACATAGGTGTAGCAACGATCAGGAAAGTAAACCCATGTATTTAAACGTTCTTATAAACAATGTAAAAGTTAGCATGGAAATCGATACGGGTACTTTTGTTACAATTATTTCTGAAAAATTATATAATACCGTATTAAAAAATAGCACACTTTTGAAGACGGATAGAAAATTAAAAATTTACGATGAAAAAATTCTACTGCCAGTAGGGAAATTGACAAAGTTAAAAGTCGAATGGGAAAATAATACGTGCTTATTAGAATGTTTCGTATTACCAGGCGAAGGTCCAGCATTGATTGGTAGGCAATGGCTGGCGGCATTTGGATTATGGCCTTTGAAATTAGGAAATACAAGTATAGATAACGTGAATATTGAAAATTTAGCAAATACATTAAGCGACAAATATACTGAACTATTCAGTGATATACCGGGCTCGTATAATAAGAGCAAATCAAAAATTTATATACATAAAAATGCAAAACCGATCGCTTTGAAATATAGACCAGTAGCCCATGCTTTGACTTCATTAATCGAAACTGAATTGGACAGACTAGTAAAATTAGGTAATTTAAAACAAGTGGAAGTTAGCGAGTGGGCAACTCCAATTGTCCCAGTTTTCAAAAATAATGGTCAAATTCGCATCTGTGGTAATTTTAAAGTAACAATAAATAAACATTTGTTAAACGACAAATATCCTTTGCATACCATTGATGATATTTTCACAAAATTACAAGGTGGAAATTCATTTTCGGAATTAGATTTAAAGCATGCATATATGCAGTTTCCGGTGGACGAAGATAGCTCAAAATTACTTACGATTATAACACATAAAGGTTTATATAGATATACAAAACTACCCGAAGGTGTTTCAATAGCACCTCCAGATGTACAAAGGAAAATGGATAAATGTTTAAATAGATTAAAGGGAGTGATCGCGTATCTCGACAATATTTACGTAACAGGAAAAACGAATGAGGAGCACCTACAAAATTTACACAGAGTTTGTCAACGATTACAAGATTGTGGTCTTAGACTAAATAAATCAAAGTGTTTTTTTATGAAAGAAAAGTTAGAAATATTAGGTTTCGTTAAAGATACAAAAGGACTACATAAGTCCGAATCTAAAATCAAGGCAATGGTAGATGCTCCTCAACCAAAAAACCAAAAAGAACTAGAATCATTTTTAGGCTTAATTAATTTCTACGCTAGATTCTTAAATAATAGGTCAGCAAATTTAAAGCCGTTGTATGACTTGTCGCACAAAGACAAATTTGAGTGAAACGCTGAATGTGCACGAGCGTTTAAATGGGTAAAAGACGAATTGGTTTCGCCAAAAGTATTAGTAAACTATAATCCAAATGAAAAATAATATTGGTATGCAATGCATCAAATTATGGACTATCAGCGATCTTATCACATAAGTATAAAAATGGCGAAGAAAGACCAATTGCATTCGCATCAAAGAAAATACCGAAACATGAATTAAACAGGAAAATTATGGATAAAGAAGCAATGGCAATAATATTTGGTTTTCAGAGATTTTATCAATTTATCTTCGGAAAAACCATAATATTAAGAACAGATAACAAGGCGTTACAATGGATCTTGGGACCACGAAAGGGCATTCCACAAACAGCAGATAATAGATTACAGAGATGGGCTTATTACCTATCAGGTTTTAAATACGAAATTGAACATGTAAAGTCCGAAGCAAATGCAAATTGTGATGCGCTTTCGAGGTTACCAATCAAGGATAACACAAACATAATTGACACAAATTTCTCTTAGGTTAATTTTTTTGAAACCGGTGTAATAACGTACAACCATAAAACTCTCGAAAAAGAAAGCAAAAGAGATCCGTTAATCTCAACAGCGATTAAATATTTTGTAAGTAATTAGCCAAAAAATGACAAAACTATGTCGAATGATTTAAAAAGTATTTTAATAAAAGATTAGAATTATCAGTAGAAAAAGGATGTCTGTTTTGGGGTTTACGAGCGGTGATACCAGAACGCATGAGAGAATTAATATTAAAAGAACTTCATGTACTCACTTAGGCATTGTTAAGATTAAGATGTTTGCTCGATCATACGTCTGGTGGCCAGGAATTGATAATGACATTGAAAAGCAAGTCAAAGAATGCGATATTTGTTTGATGAGAGAAAAAAACCACCTCACATTCCATTAACAACTTGGCCATACCCAGACAAAGCATGGTCGAGAATTCATTGTAATTTTGCAGAGTTATTCGGTAAAATGTACTTATTAGTAATAGACGCGCATTCAAAATGGCCAGAAATTATAAACTTTAATAATAACACAAAAGCGTACAGATTGATAGATGAATTTAAACTACTGTTCGCAAGATACGGTTTTCCGCTACACTGCGTTACTGATGGAGGCCCACAATTTAGAAGCGAAGAATTTCAAATCTTTTTGCGGGAAAACGGAGTAAAACACTCATTTAGCTCACCCTATCACCCTGCGACAAACGGAGCTGCGGAAAATATTGTACAAACATTCAAAGACAAAGTGAAAAAAATATAGATAAGCGTGTGGAAGCAGAAATTGTAAAGCAGACCTCACCGTCCACCTTCGCAGTCAAAGATAAAAATAACAACATGAGAAGGAGACACGCCGATCAAATTATCAAAAAGGATGCTGTTGGACCGCGACGCTCTCCTCGCCTGAACAGAAACAACATTTAAAGAGGCAGGAGAGTTGTAGTATATGCAAGTACACGTGAGCAAGGCGTGGAGTGTGTGTGAGCATGCGTGAGGAGACTGCGAGTGTGTGCCGCGAGGGCGAGCGCGTGGAGAAAGTGTAGTGTGTGTGCACGAACACATGGGCGCGAGCACATGGTACCCCGTGCAGTTTTTTACTTAACTAGTTTTGTTATACTTACTGCAAATGTAAAATAAATATATATAGCTAAATACATTATCGTGCTCCGTGATTTAGCCTAGTCTGAAGACATCACATAAACCAAGAAAGCTAAATAATTAGTTTTCTTATTGGTCTTTTACATTAGGTCAACCTAACCTAAACGATAAAAAAATTGTAATTATTTAGCATTCTTGTTTCTTTTTTATATACATATATGTACATAGTAGCCTAGATTTCTTATTATGAATACTTTAATTTTAATGAAGGATGTTTCATTCTGTATAGCCAATAAATAGTTAAATAAAGATAATATTTATCGATAAAATAGAGTCAGCATCCCCTTAAACATAAATGTCTGTTGTTTTTGGCTCTATTATACTTACAAGGCACACATACACATGACTCGTATTACAAACTATACATACATTATATCTATGTATATACATACATATATATATATACGAGTGATCAATTAGTGTTACAGACTTATATCTTAGAAACAAAGAATTTTAGAGAAAAATGTTTTAGACAAAAGTTGTATGGTTTCAAGGAAAACATGAAATGGTGTCATTGATTTGACCTTGAATAGTCATTTGAAGGTTACGTAAAGGTCACCTTCAAATGACTATTCAAAGTCAAATTAATGACACCATCTCATGTTTTCCTTGAAACCATACAACTTTTGTCTAAAACATTTTTCTCTAAAATTCTTCGTTTCCAAGATATAAAAGTCTGTAACACTTTAATTGACTCACTCGTATATGTATATGTATATATATAGTCTATAATACGAGTCATGCGTATATGTGCCTTGTAAGTATAATAGAGCCTTAAATGGAATGGATTTCTTAAATAGAACCTTCTATTTTTTATTGCATATTCTTATAGCTATCTCGAGAGCTTTCCAAAGCATAATAAAATTTTTTTATGAAATACTTCTTGAGTTATAAGGCTTGAAAGTGACAGTACCGCCGGCTACTGACTCTGTTTTAATCTGAATTTCAAAAATAACAGAATGTTTTTTCCGCGTACTTCAACTTCAGCAAACTTGTTTTTACGTTCATATAAAGTATATTTTTGTATAAAGCATATATTATACGTTGACAGTTTATCAGTAATTCGAGACGCCATATTGAGACAAAAATAATTTAGCCAGAAATGATTAATCAAATCAACGTCGAATTGATGTTGATTTGACGTCGATTCGACCAATCAATGTCGATTCGACGACGAATTGACGTTGATTCGACATTACTTATGGCTGAGAAATAAGGAAAACTATAATTTCGTAATTTCTCGTTTCCATATAAAATCGGAGTTTCCTGAGATTATTGATATACATATGTATTACAATCATGGAGAAACATTTTTAACTCTGTCAAATTAATGCGACGAAAGATTAGAAATACGAAATAGTAATTCCTGTCGATAATGCAGACTGTTAAGGGACACATTTAACTTGTATTTATTATTACATTTGTGTCATTGCAGAGATATTCCAGAAGAGCAAATTGGAAATCCCACCGTAACGTTGCGTGAGGATGGACTGTATAATATTTTATCACGCGTTGCCTTATTGGATGAAGATTTACCGGAAGCAACAATTGTCAAATGTTTACTCAGTATACCGAAGGCAACGTATAATGTGTCTCGCAAAACTGTCTATTATACTGGTTAGTGGCAAGTGTGTAGGTGCACTATACACCGACACACACGCGCGCACGCACACGCACACGCACATACTCTATCTATCTATATATATAAGCACCGTCCGTCTGTTTGTCTGTCTGTCTGACCGCGAACTACTTCCACATTTGTGGACCGATTTTTATCAAATTGGTACCAAAATTTCACAAATTTTCCGAGGAGTGTGACGATGGTACTTTCTTGTAAGTTTTACGCTTCCACCCACGCTCCCACTCACGCAATCGCATATTTATGGACCGATTTTTTTTTAATTGGTATCAAAATGTTGCAAATTTTTTGAAGATGGCGACAATGTGGTTTTTTCAAGTGTTACACCTTCACCCACGCATCCACCCACGCATTCACACATTTATTCACAGACTTTTTCGAAATTTGTACTCAAATTTTGTCGGGGATGGCTACTATATGATTTTAAAAAATTTTTATCACCTTATTCACCCGCCCACGCACCCATCCACGTATCCACCTATGTGCATACGCATTTATTGACTGATTTTCACGAAATTGGTATCAAAATGTTACAAATTTTAATAGAAAGCTATTGTGTGGTTTTTTTAAGTTTTATTCCAATCACGCATCCGCCCATGCATTCACACATTTATTCACAAATTTGTACTAAAATTTTGTAAATTTGTCGGGGATGGTTAATATATGATTTAAAAAATTTTTAACACCCTATTCACTCATCCACGCAACCACCCACGCATCAACAAATTTATAAACGGATTTTCATGAAATTGGTACCAAAATTTCGAATATTTTACAGGGATCGATAATATGTGTTTTCTTTTATTTTTATCACCCTATCACACACACTTACGCAACCACCCACGCACCAACACATTTATAGACAGATTTTCTCGAAATTGGTACCAAATTTTGCATATTTTTTCGGGGATCACTACTATGTGTTGTTTTTTTTTTTACAATACTACATACGCATCCACCCACGCATTCATACATTTATTAATTCATTTTCTCGAAATTGGATATCTATTTATATCTATATAAAATTAATTAATGAAAGGCTCGTATAAATTAACGAAATTAAAAGAAATAAATATTGTAGGCCAACTAAACGAGCAAAATTACAAGATATAAAGATTTATTAATAATTAAATTCTCATTCCATTAGAGAAACAATATACAACGTAAACGTTTCGACTGCACTACAGTCTTCTTCAATACATAAAACTTAAATATTAAATACAAAGTTAACGATTCTTCGCTAATGAACAATGGATAAGTAAGACGATTAGTCTGAGATTTCAAGTTTTGCGACATTTAATCATGCTGTGGAGATTTTACGCGAATTAATTAATATCAGAGAAAAATTGAAAAATCTTTCAACTTACATTAATGTTTGAGTATTATTAAGTTTGAGTATACATTAAGTTTTATGTATTGAAGAAGACTGTAGTGCAGTCGAAACGTTTACGTTGTATATTGTTTCTCTAATGGAATGAGAATTTAATTATTAATAAATCTTTATATCTTGTAATTTTGCTCGTTTGGTTGGCCTACAATATTTATATCTATATCTATATATATAAGTTGCAAAATTTTTGGGAGTGTGATGAGATGGGGGGATTTTAATTTTTTTAACATAAAGAAGGCTATGTTTTTACGAAAAAAAATTGGAGTGATATAAGTTATATGATGAGCATAGCAGCACGGACGAAATGTCAGCAAGACAAAGAGAAATTGAAGAATTGAAATGGAAAATAAAAATTAATAATAATTAATTAATTTTAAATTTTTTTAATTTTTTAATAAATATTTTGATTGCATAATATATCTAATTATATCTGTATAAATATTTTCGCGGTCAGACAGACATACAGACAGACGGTGCTTATTTTTGCGAAATAAAATATTTAAAACAAAGAACTATCTCTTTTATATTAAATAAAGTTTTATAAAGACTATATTAGGACCGCGCTTCGCGCGGTCCGAAAAGCTAGTATATTATAAGTATCGTCCGTCTGACCCACGGTCGTATACACAGGTCTGGAAACTCTCATGGTGGGGGTAAGGCTCTTAATGAATGTCAAAAGTTTCTTGAGTTAACCGCTAGCCGTATGGCACTGTGATCGCATAGTAAGAGTTCTTTCTTTTTAAATGACTATATCATAACTCATATGTCATATATATCATATGTCATATCTATTTAATTAAAATTTTATTAAAATGCCGTCGGAATGTGTTGTGCCGAATTGTACAACAAATAAATATAAGTGCATAGAAAAATGGTCAACTTTTCAAGTGCCAAAAGATGAAAATCTTCGTGCAAAATATTATCTATAATTCTCTGTATTGAAGATTCCAGAGGATATATTGACTAATTTCTATTATGTAAATCAATAAATCACACTCCCCTTAGCAATATAATATTGTTCAAGCTTCTCAGGATTCTATATTTACAATAAGTTCCGATATATCTTTTACTATAAAAATAAAGTGCAGAACAGATAAATTTATGCATTTTTATTAATCTTGTAAAATTTGTATTATTCGACAAAGTTGCAAAAAAAAGGTATATCATTAGAATAATACATGAGAATGAGAATATAATTTAGAAATTTGAAATAATAAATACAAACATGTCATATCACTCACTTAAAGAAGACTCTTACCTCTTTACTAGCCTTTCAAAATATGTTCTATAATGTTTTA